TTCTTTGTGAATCATTTCTTAATGATCATCTTTACAGTATCTGCAGGGGGGAAGTATGGTGTGGGTTAAATGAATTTTGACAGTGTTAATAGAAGTATTGGAAGAGAGGTTTAGATTCGGAGGCTTTTAACTCGACGTATTTTTCATTTACACCCTTTTCTTGGCAGCAAAAGTAGCATTGTGGGTTGGCTTTATCCTGGAGTAATTTCTACGCACTGATTTCGCTGAAGTCAGTGTGAGCTCCTTAGACCAGGGCTGCCACTACACCAGTCTTTAGTCTCACCATTAGGTAAGGTGACACACTTAGCAGATTCCAACATTTTAATAAGAGGCAGGTTCTGTTTGGGACTTAGAAGTTAACTGAGCTGCTTTGCCCAGGCTTAGTGGCTTGAGTTTAGCCCCTCTTTCTTAAGAAATAATGGAGTGCTGCTTTACATATTTGTATGTACATTGCTTGACTCTAGCGTACATTGAAATTCTTGATGTATCCTGGACTTGCTCTTGTTTTACTTGGAGGAAATAAGGATGACAGAAACCAGCATGTTAGGGGACTGATGTGCAGCGGCAGCTCCGTCAGTGCCCGAGGGACTCAGCGGCATTTCCAGCTGCTGCCCTCCCTGGTCAGCCCTACCCGAGGGCCTTGGAACAGCTGCCTACTCCCTACGACTCCGCAGCACGCTCGCGTAGGCACTTACCTTTGTATCTTGGAAAATACTTCTCAGACTTTTAGGAGATACAGTTTTGCTTGCGACGACTTTGATCGGTTGACCTTTTAATTTGTATTTGTGGTTCCTGTTTTGATGCTATCCATGACTGCAGACACATTGCCATGTAGTGCTGGATACTCACCCCAAGCAGCAGAGAACTGTAGAGTTCATCTCAACCTGTTGATTTGTGTGTGGTTCCTTTGTCTTTATAATTTTTTGTTGGTAATTCCCAGTTGGAGCGATAGCACAGCGGGTAGGGCATTTGCCTTGCATGCAGCTGACGTAGCCAACTTGAGTTCAATTCTTCTGCCCCTCTCGGAGAGCCCAGCAAGCTACCAAGAGTATCTCGCCTGCATGGCAAAGCCTGGCAAGCTACCCGTGATATATTCGATGTGCCAAACACAGTAACAAGTCTTACAATGTTACTGGGCCCACTTGAGCAAATCGATGAACAATGGGAGGACAGTGACTGTCACACCAATTCTCAGTTGGAGTGCTATTCTAGATGGGTTCACTTTGGACAAAGAGAAAGGCAAGGTGGGGTTGTATTCAGTTTGTTTGCTGATGGTGCTCCTCGAGGGTTTCTTGCCCAGTCTTCTACTCTGCAGGAACTCTTGATAGACATTTGGAGTTTTAGCAGTCTGATCGGTACTATGGTAATAATCACAGAATGCTATTTCCTCCACGTGAGTTGACTTTCCTATAAACATACAGTATAAGAATGCAAGAATTACCGTTTTCAGTTTTTGGTATTTGTAAGTGATAGCAGATCATTTCCATGTGTAAGAAGCTTAAGTGCAGTTTTAGTTTGGCTTTGCAAAAGCTCCTCTTTTATTTGGTGGGTATTAGAGTGAGAGCATTGACACAGATTAAAAAGAAATTTAATTTGTTTGGAAGAATTTTTTTATATATTTGAGTATCAGTAATCCATTTTTTTTTTTGGTGCGAGTAACAGTAACCCCATCCTACCCTCTCCATTGTGGAGGCTAAGAAAGTCCCCCAATTCTTGTACATCACCTTTTTTTTTTTTTTCATCATCTTCACTTTCTCATGCAATGGATTAGTTTGCTGTTCCCAGCAGGGCCACTTTTGTTCCAGGAGACTGTTTTGTCCTACCAGCTCCTGGGGAGATATGAAGAGGAGGTCTCTGTTTGCTGTGCAGACCACACTGCAGTGGTGATGCCAGTCAAAAGCCAAAACTGAAATTTGCTGAGACTAACCGAGAGAATTCCAGATCGACAGTGGATGTAACTGAGACTGGTTCTACAACTGCTTTTCAGCAGCTTGCAAAATGCGTGTAGGGCCTCCCACACTTCCTTCCTCTTCTCCAGCCACGCCCGCGCACACGAGTCGCTTCTGCAGTCGCTAACAGGGCGAAGAAAACATCAGAACGTTCTTGCAACACATATACTATTACTTGTTTCTCAAATAATGAACTTCCATATTATAAACACGCTTGATTAGTTGGCCTGTTTCATTTAAGTCTAGCCTAGTTACACATGTGAGCATTTGCTAAGTAAAACTATTTTAGAAAGACCTCATTTCTTGGGGTTTTTTGTTTATCTGTTTTGAAAGATGTTCAATGGAGGGCTGGAGTGATAGTACAGTGGATTAGGTTAGTATAGCGTTTAGTACAGGGATAGTACAGCATTTGCCTTGCACGGGGCCGACCTGGGTTCAATCCCTGGCATCCCATATGGTCCCCCAAGCACTGCCAGGAGTAATTCCTGAGTGCATGAGCCAGGAGTAACCCCTGAACATAGCTGGGTGTGACCCAAAAAGCAAAAAAAAAAAAATGTTCCATGGGAAATGTTCATCATGTAAGGTAGAAAGGAAAAGTGCTTATGAGATTACAGGTGATTTTCTTTTTTCCCAGTTTGCTTTTCTGCATTTTCCAGATTTTCTAAAGCGCAACTTTTCTAAAGTAATAACTGGTTTTTGGAGAGAAATACTTGAAAAATGATTATATTTCCCTGCCCCGGATATGATTTGTCTTATCTCATTTTATAAAAAAATTGTTACTAGGCTGGAGAGATGCCTCACAGGGGTGGACTCAGGTCCCTCAAGCATTGTTGGGTGTAGCCCCCAAACAAATAAAAACAAAGAAATTTTCATCTGGGCACATGTTAATGTAGAAAATAATTTGGAAGTCATGTACCAAAAGGTTAACAGAAGTTATCACAGAAGGGGGAAATAATGGATGATTTTTAAAAAATATCCTCACTGGTTTTGCCACTCTGAATAAAATTGTATCTCCTCCTACCCCCTTTGTATAGGTATTTCTTTTATAAATTTATAATTGGAACAGAAGTACACAAAACAAATGTGCTGTCTCAGGAGAAAAAGGAGAATATGAGATAAAAGCTATTTATAGATGTTTAGGCCTTTGTAAAAATATAAAAAGTATGTAAATATTTGGAGAAAAATCAACAAAGTATTAATAGTGCTGATTTTTAGTGATAAGACCATGAATATCTTTTTGTTCTTTCTACTTCCTAAGTTGTATTTTCTCATTTTCCTATGAGCTTATCTTACTTTGAGGGGAATAAATGTAAAGGAACATGTAGTCATCCATTTTGAAAGAGTAGACTTGATTGTCATTCTAATATTTTAAAAGCAAAACATTTGGGACAGGGAATATGGCCTCAGGAGAAGAACACGTGCTCCCATATGTGGGGCTTTTGGTTTGACCCCAGGCACTGTGCTGCTCCTTTCTGCATCCCTCCCACCTTTAGATATTGTGGAGTGTTTAATTGAAAAAGGATCAGACATTGATGCTGAACCAGAGATAGTGGTGTTTCTCCCCCTCCTTGTAATCTTTATCACATTTTCACTTTAATACATTGTAGGAAGCTGTAACAGTTCCATAAATTCATTTTCTTGCAGTATGCAAGGATAGAGGACTGAAAGGATTTCTCCCGAGGTGGGGGAGATACCGTCATTAACGGTGAAGATGGTCGCTCGTATTTCCTTCAATGCTCTTATCCCGTTCTCAGTGCTTTACCTCCATTAACTCATTTCGTCCTCAGAGGTGGAGCTCTTACTGCCCACATTTTCTAATGAGGACTATGACTATGCAGAGAAGTCAGATTTTGCTTTGGTCCTGCCCCGGTTTGTGATTGGTAAGCAGCTGTTCTAATCCAGTCATTGGCCTGCTGGGCCAGTGCAAAACCCTCAACTGACACCCTGCTTTGCCACAGGACCTTTAGAGAGAAGCAGGCAAAGATGGTGTGGGGAGCTGCTGTCCCCACTAAAAGCTGGAGGACCTGGTGAGCATCCTCCAGTTCCCGTGTCCAGATCTGGGTCTGTTCCCATCTGGTGACCCTGTAGAACTATCTTCATCTCCTCAGCTCCTCGTTCGGAGCAGGAGGATTGCTTTCACTCCCAGAGGTTATCCGCCTTTTCCTCTGCTCCTTTCACCTTTGCACTTCTTTGCACTGCTCTGCACCTCCTTGTATTTTTTTTCCCTCCAGGCTTGGGGGAAAATGTGTAATGCTTACCTGAACACTCCCCTTTATTCTAGGGGGCATGTTGTCTTGGCCTGGTAGGAATTCCTTCATTATCGTGTGCTCTTGCAGAGTTGTGGGAAGACTCACCAGGCTATCTCGGGGATCCCTTCTTTTCAGCAATGCCAAGAACTTTAGATATAAGTAGCCACCCCCATTCTCTTTGTTTGCGGAGTTGGTCTCTCTCTCTCTCTTTTTTTTTAATGCCAAATGCAAAGCTGTCAAATAGAATGTGAAGGTGTCTCTTCATTCCCTGGTGGTGGCATTGCAATTATTTCTGCTGCCTGCAGAGGCCTGTGAGTTAGAGAGGTGGCAGTCCTTGCTGTTGGAGGGAGTGTTTGTGAGCCTGCAAGGGCTTCTGCAAGCGTGACCAGCTTTGAAGCCAGGCTAAGCAGGATTGGAACTGCAGAACCACTGTGTTTGGGGCAGTGAAGCCTCATCGTACCTGACTCACAGGCTCTCAGTGAGGACTCATTAAAACATGCATTTGGTGCCAGGAAGAATTTTGAAATGCTGAATTAACTGTTACTCGTCATTAATATTTTCTCCTCCTTCCAGTGGAAATGATTTTTCAGACCTCCATCTTTATGTTTCTGTTCACTATGAGGTTCTTGTTTACTAAAGACTCATGGGATGGCTGATAATTCATAAAGGGGAAAAAGTGGGAGACGGGGTTCATAAAGACAAACCGTCTTAGTATGTCTGGAATTAGTCTTAGGGTATAAATTGATATTTAAGCGAAGTTAAACAAAACTAAACTGAAGTCCTTTTCTGTATTTTCTTTTAGGAGGAAGAAACAACAAGCCAAGCAGTGATAACAAGGATCATGCAATATGCAGCTTGCGCGGTATGTCTCGGAACCAGTTCCAAGTCACCTTTATTCGTATGTCGCATGTTAGCACTCAGTATTGATTTTTCAGGATGACATTCGGACACTGGAAGGCCCTCACAGATCAGAAAGTGATTTAATCACTTGCTATACTGTCTCCACGTATCATTAATAGTAAGACGAGACAGTGAACTAGTATTTAACAAAAAATGTTCAATAAGAAGAATGTCACCCCTACCCCCCAGCCTTGTTTATAATGTACCAAAAGAAAGCAAGTCTTTATAGTGAGAGTGAGTAATGATTTCACTAAAGGGTAGCCTGTCTTTGTGATGAAATCTCGTTGGATCCTTTCCCATGAACTTGGTACAGTTTATGTACAGTTTAGTTTTTAGTTTAGTTTTCCTGATATGATTTCAATGATATGCAGAAAGGAATAAATAATTTTAGTATCGTTCTTAAATAAAAAGTAACTGAAAATGTGCAGCTATATAATAGGAGAATTAGAAATAGCTTCACTGAAGGGATAATTAGCACTAATAGGAAGGGACTAGTCATCAGATTGCTAAATTCCTAATTGAATTTTTTTATTTAGTTCTATTAATCTCAGAAGAAAACTCAATCTGTGAGATATAAAGTGATATCTTAATTTGTATAATTTATATATTTATTTCTCTGAGTTAGGATCATTTATAAGAAACGATTTCTCATTATGGCATAAAGGTTATTATAAAGACAGAATTAAAAAACTTAATGAAATGTAGCCTTTAAAACCAAATGATTTAATATTGCATGCTTATTTATTCTTGAAAATAAGCAGATCATGATGAGGGATCTTTGAGATTTGGGAAACCTTACTATAGATACATAACTGGTAAGTACAAAGTGTGACTGCCAGTCAGCCAGCAGATACTAAGCACCTACTCTGTGTCAAATACTGTTCTAAGAACGAGTGATTTAAAGAGTAAAATATTGCCTTGTAACATTTTGGAAAAAGTATTGTACTTCAAAATTCAATGACAATTTGACTGCATATGTAAGACATTGCTTGAAGTGTTGGGGCAGGGAGTGTTAACAAAAGGAACCATAGAGTCCTTAAAAGCTTTCAGCCTCAGGATAGAGGTGATGTATACAGAAACTATAGAATAAGGCCCCTTGAGACATAGGTGTCCCAGCGTGCTTTGGACATAAAGAAGGCAAATAGTATCAGAAGGTGTCATGAAAGGAGTTTTGTACCTTTATTGTTGTTGTTGTTCTTACAGAAAATAGTCTTGAAATAACAGCAAAAAAGTTGTTGGGTTTCAAATGTTTATTTCTTTATATCTTGTCAATTCTTGCCTTGTTTTTAAGACAGTAATTGAAATTACTTTTGGAAAAAAAATTTTTTAGCATAACACCAAAGTTGGCAGCTTGCTTAATCTAATGTCACCATAATGATTTCAACAGACTTTTTTTTTTAAATCTGGAAAATTTAATATACTTAAATTCTCAACTTTTACAGCATTACCCCTAACTATGTAAATATGTTATTATAAATGGACCTGACTGATGTTAGGTTTCACTTTACTTCAATTTTCTCTTTATGATATTTTTTGTTTTGGGACCAATACCCGATGGTGCCCAGGGCTTATTTCTGGTTCTGCACTCAGGAATTGCTCATGGTGGCAGTGTTTGGGGAATGGCATGGGATATTGGGAATTGAACCCTGGTTGGCTTCTTGCAAGGCAATTGTCCTACCCACTGTGTTATTGCCCATTTTGTTTGTTTTTGGTTTGGGAGCACACCCAGCAGTGTACAGGGCTTACTCCTGGCTCTGTCCTCAGGGATCGATCACTCCTGGCAGGTTCAGGAACCATATGGGATGCCTGGGGTTGAACCAGGATTTGCGACATGCCAGGGAAGTGCCCTACCTGCTTTTCTATTACTCTGACCCCTTAGATATGTTTTTAAAAGGAGGCAATAAAAAGAAAAGTTGACCACAGTTAATTTTGTTTGTCCTCTTATTTTTTAGATGTCCATGGCAACGTAGAAAATGAATTCCTTCTTGTTACCAGAATTTCTTTTATGAGAAGATCCGTTTGAAGCAATCTAAATATTTTCTCTTCTGTGGGACCAGCATGGCAGGATTCAAGCGAGGATATGATGGAAAGATTGCTGGGTTATATGATCTGGATAAAACCTTGGGGCGAGGCCATTTTGCAGTGGTTAAACTTGCCAGGCATGTCTTTACAGGTGAAAAAGTGGCAGTGAAAGTTATTGACAAGACAAAATTGGACACTCTAGCCACTGGTCATCTTTTCCAAGAAGTGAGATGCATGAAACTAGTGCAGCATCCCAACATTGTACGTCTTTATGAAGTTATTGACACCCAGACCAAACTGTATCTTATTTTAGAACTTGGGGATGGAGGAGATATGTTTGATTATATAATGAAACACGAGGAGGGCCTTAATGAAGAGTTGGCCAAGAAGTACTTTGCACAGATAGTTCATGCTATATCTTATTGCCATAAACTCCACGTAGTTCACAGAGATCTAAAACCAGAGAATGTGGTCTTCTTTGAAAAACAAGGTCTTGTCAAGTTGACAGACTTTGGTTTCAGCAACAAATTTCAACCAGGGAAGAAGCTCACAACAAGCTGCGGATCTCTTGCATATTCTGCTCCGGAAATTCTGCTTGGTGACGAGTATGATGCTCCTGCAGTAGGTATGTATACTTCTCCTAGTATTTATGTGCTGACTTGAGTTCTGCCAGGTAGAGTATAGTTGCTCAAATTTGTTGTTTACCTAGAAATATTCCTTAATGAGCATTTCTCTTCATTCGTGTCTTCATTAACATTCATGAACCTCATATATCTCTATCACTGGCAGCTAGTTTGTTTTGCCTCTTAGATGGCAAATTACCCATCTAACGCACATAGGAAAGTCAGTTTTCTAAGGTAATCTCCCACCTGCTCATTATCATAATTCTTATTATTTTTTGTTACGGGAGTGCTTTTTTATCTCCTTTGATTCTTCTAGTAGTTGACCTGGTCTTCTCCTTCCTGTGAATGCCCCAGAGAGTCTTTGATACCCGTGCTGCAAGGTACTATGGCTGTTCCAGTGCAGCATGAATAATTTGGCATTGGTGTCATTCCTTGTGACCTTGGAAGTCTGCTTAAGCTCTTATAATGCATAAGGTAGAATTAGATCATATTCCCATCATGCCTTTCTTGCTTATCATGGCAACCTGTGTGGTGGGTATTGTCCATCTCATTTTACAGCCTGGAAAGTGGGCATACAGAAGATCTGGTGTTTGGGGTTTCCAGAATGATGGAATCCGTAGCCTTCTCAGCCACACTCTCCCTTTAGTCTAGCATGTTTTTGTCCTCTCACTTTTGTCCTCTGATGAGTTACCTACCCGTAGAAGTGTCCTCTGCTTTTCTGCTTATGTCCTCTTGTTTCCTCGGAATTGTATTTGTTTTGAAAGTCACGTAAAGATGTATTTCTAATTTTTAAGGATTTTTGATACTCTGATGGTGTGGTCTTTTTTCTTTTCTTTTTTTTTTTCTGGTTTTTTGGGTTACTCTTGGCTCTGCACTCAGGACTCACTCCTGGCAGTGCTCGGGGGACCATATGGGATGCTGGGAATCGAACCCAGGTTGGCTGCACGCAAGGGCAAATGCCCTACCCGCTGTGCTATCACTCCAGCCCCAGTGTGGTCTTTCTTAATATTTTAGTTTAATCGTGGAAAAATTCATGCAGATACTGAACAAACATTTTGTCAGGCTTTATAGGTGGAGTCTTATTTCTGCATTTTGTTATTTGCAAGGCAGATTACAGAAGATTAAAGCTACACCTTGAGAACCAATCATATGCTGGGTACTCTACACCACCACACTGCTTTTCATGCTAGAGTATGTGTTCAGAAGAAGAAAGGGTTAATTTTGCCACTCTAAATAATGAGGGCTTCGTTGAACTATTTGAACCAGAGATGTTTCAGTTAGTGGGGCAGTTCCAACCAGAAAATGAAGTCAACAATTTACAAAAGAGAAAACATTAATTGTCTGAATGTGAAAAAGATGTTCAACCTCATTAATAATCAGGAATAGACCAAACAATGATGAACACACACACACACACACACACACACACACACACACACACTCACCTGTTTTCTTCTTTTCTTAACTGTGAATGACAAATAGGACCAAGAATAGATTACGACTACAGAACATCAGGGTCTTTTGTACTGGGTCTAAGACAATTTGTCAGTTTCAAATTTAAAGATTATGTCATGAGTCCTAGCAATTCTACCTCTGTATGCACCTTAGAGAATTTCTCACTTGTCTACACAGATTTTTTCAGGCAGTGCCTTTAACAGCATTATTGATTATTCACCAGCAAAGGAATAAACTGACCAGTATTCATATGCTAGAATTCTGTAAGTTGGGCTGCACTCATCCTCAGATCATTGTGCAGGCTTAGTGGACCCCCCACTCCCCTCTTTCCTTGGAAACCTAGAACCTGCAATTTAAAAAAAAAAAGCTTGAGTCTTTGGGCTTAATTCCCCCCAACCCTCTCCAGAGAATTCTATAAGTTAGTGAAAATTAATACAATTCACAACGATAATGTTTGTGAAAACGATGTGATGTTAGGTACATATAGTCGTATGACATTCAGTAGAAGTTTAAAACATACAGAGCAACATTGTATGTTGTTTAGGAGTATGTGCACATGTAATAAAGTGTGTAGGAGGTATGAGATCAGTACCGTTATTTCTGAGAGATGGGCTAACCTGGGGACCCAACCCTACTGCGGTGGGTAAGAGGCGCACAAATTTTTAAAAGGAATAGAAAATTGAAAGGGTGCTCTCCAGTTAGGTGAATGGTTACTGTCAGTAAAGCAGGTAGAGCTTATGGTAACTTTATTTGTATTTATTTCAACTCATTTTGCTTAATTATATGATTGAAATGAGTAATTGCTTAAAAAATTGGATAGCTATTTTCTATTAAATGTAGTACTCTTTTTTTGGTACTCAAATCAGTGATTTTTTCACAGTTTTTCAGCAGCAGCATTAAATGGGTACAAAAATAAAAAAAAATTTGTATTATCACATGTTGCTATATAAAACAAATTTGGTTGGGTTTTATAAGTAAATGTTTAAAGTAGACCAGTCCTCATTAGGACATGGTTCAGAAATTTTAAAAGCTATTTTTAGAGAGTCAGATTTTGATTTTACTTCATCTTCTTTATATCATTTTGATTTTACTATTTCTTCATTTATATCATTCCTTTTTTTTTTTCTTGAGCTAACCATTCTTTCTGGGATCTTTGAGTTTTCTTTTTCTTTTTTTCTCCCTTTTGCTTTTTCTAGTATCTTAAATTTTTGTTTCTTTGAGACCCTATTTCTTATAGGAAATCTGTAACACCCTTAATATTGAATAAGGCTGTATGTTGCCTTAATGATAGTTTCTGGTAACATGCTAACATGTTCTGCAGTCCTTGTTCATAGCTAAAATTTATCTTTGCTACTTTCTTTCTTGTTTAAAAGTCCGTTTTGTTTAAATCTCAAAATGGTTTTATTTTTCCCTTTAGTTATGTGAATTTTAACTAATTTTGTTGCATTGCAGTCAGTAAATATGCATGGTTGGTTTCTGCTTAGGGGACTATTTTTAGATTTTTGGCATAATTAAATATATAGTAATTTGGGGGGAAGGATTAATAATTAAATTATCTTTTTTTTTTCTTGCTCATAAAGATTTTAATACATAATTGAGATTGTTAATTATTTAACTCCCCTCCCCCCCTTGAATTCTACTTTCTTACTTTGTTTTAGGCATTTCTCTTTTTTAAGGCAGTTTTAGAGTGGAACTCAGAGCCTCTTGCTTGAGCAGCACGTGCTCTGCCAAGAAGCCACATGCCTGGCCCAAGTTTAATTTTGGTTAAAACAGCAATAAATAGCTGTATATTGTGTATAATCAGCTTGTCAGTCTTTCAGTAGGTACATTTAATCCATTTTTTATTACTGGCATATTTGTGCTAGGAATTTTTGTGTTTTTCTCTATTATTTCTTTTTTCCCCAAGTTTTGTGGCATTATTCAGCTTTTCTTTGCTCCTCCAGCTGTTTGCAGGGGTGTGTAGTCTCTCTGTCACCTCACACTCTACCCTGCAGATTAGAATGAATGAGTATGTTCTGTCTACTAAACAGATAAGATCATCATATGCCTTTTCTTCCCACTTAAAAGTAGATTTTTAAAAAAAAATTTTATTAGTGAAACGCCATGAGGTACAGTTGTAGACTTAAAAATTTTTGTGCTTGGGTTTCAGTTATACAATGATCGAGTATACATCCCTCCACCAGTGCCCATTCCCCACCTCCAATGCTCCCAGCATCCTTCCCACCTCCCCACCCCCTCTATCCCACCCCACCCCTGTGACAGGGCATTCCCTTTTGTTCTCTCTCCTTTTGGGTGCTGTGGTTTGCAGAAGAGGCATTGAGTGGCAATTATGTTCAGTCTGTAGCCTACTTTCAGCAAGCATCTTCCATCCTGGGAGGATCCTCCCAACACCTTTTACTTGGTGCTCCCTTCTCTATCTGAGCTGCCCTCTCCCCCAGCATGTGCAGCTGGCCTCCAAGCCGTGGAGTGAACCTCCTGGTAAAAAGTAGATTTTTTTTTTATTTGCTTCTATTTACAGTAAATATTTGCTTGGAATTACTTTTACACATTTCTTGGCTTACACCTGTCTTGATCTCCCTATCATTCATGTGGATTATTTTTGTTTGTTGTCCTTTAGAAAGGATTTGTGAAAATCTTCCCAATCCCTTAGCTGTCTAAAAATGGCCTCCTATTTGAGTGATAATTGGCCTGAAATACATAGGCGGTAAATATGTTGAGATGCATGTTCAAAGTCATCTTCCTCCCAACTTTGAAGATGTTTTTCTGTTTTTTGTTTGTTTGTTTGTTTGTTTGCCGGTGCACAATCTGACGTGGGACTGATTTTATTTTCACGTAAGACTACTGTGAAAACTCATTCTGTGAAGCAGCGTTTCTGGAAGTGTCCCTTTAAGTGAGTGTCCCAGGTATATTAGTTGCGTTTCGTGCATTGGGTCCCTCTCTCGCTGGGCTTATTTCTTTGGGCTGTTAGGACTTAAGATTCCCTCATACCCTGACTGAGTAGGGTGTGTGAGTACAGTAATCTTCCTCCAGTGGCAAGGGGAAAGGAGCCAGGTGTGGCCAGATGGAACTTCCTGGTATCTGGCCTGAGAATTTGACAGACTCTCTGTACATCTCCATCTCTAATGCCCTCCTTCCCTCCTCCTGCCGGGGTCACCTGCTTGTTCCTGCTGGGTGAGTTGCAGGGTGATAGAGTTGATCCTGCTAATGGTCATCTTGATGCAGGTCCACAAATCCTTCTGCCAACTGGGTTCTGGGGCCCTGGATTCCTCTGTCAGTCTGATCCTACCTGCTCTCTACCTGCTTTATTATACATACAGCCCGGGGTTTGGAGAAAGGGTGGGTGTCTCTCATGCTGAGTGGGTTGGTGAGTCAGTTGCCTCTGTGTGCTTTCAGAAAGCGTGATAAGTTGACTTCGCTGATTTGGAAAAAAGAGAGGGAAAATCATCTCTGAAAGTCTCTCATTGCTGTCTCCCGAATTCCTTTGGTAGAGACATTGTGGGAAATGCTTCGTTATTGCCTGTTGAGGACAGGCAGGAGGATGAATGAA